AATAAGTTTATTTGCAAGAACCTGGCTAAAGTATTACAAAAAACCACAGATGACTTACTTTATTGTACAACTACTTATAGCCACATATCATCTGAACACTGCTCAGCATAAATGAAGAGAAATACAAACAAAACATTGTAGCCTAGCTTTTATTTTACTAACAAAAGAAAGAAATAGTTAGGAAGAAATACATAATGTTCCCTTTTTATAAAAGCACAACATAATATCACCGGAAAGAAAAGCATCTTAAGGTGACCCAGCATGAAAAACTACAGTAAGTAACAATCCCCACTATCACCAACCCATCACCTTGTTTTAGCTGCCTAATGGGCCGACTGTTTTATGTGTGTACATATATATATATTCATAACTTTATGTACAAAACCAAACCTAGTTTCCCACATATGTGTTTTAAAGTTTAAGTTATTCCATTCATGCCAAAACTTCTCCATTTATTTCTCAAAAGTAAAATATCTATAGCTCCATTTTCACATCTAATATACATACTACAGTATTCATAACTTGAGCTTTGAATTTTCTTGCTATCAAATAAATGCGGGAACATTATCCTGCTAGATAATTTAACGTGAATGATTAAGATATCCTTTCACCAAACACAAGCTTGATATTAAACTCTGGCGTTCGATTTCTTTAAACTCATCTGTACTTGAGCGAACGTCCAAAGGTGGGATTCCAACAAGAATAACTAAACAGGAACGCCTTTTAAGTCTACTGTTGAAAGAAGGATACTTTTGGTATACCCTCTATTGTCCTCGTCAGAGAGTTGCTTAATTATACTATTACACCTAAGAAGCATGCGTGTTTAAATTGAAGCATTTATAAACTGTTAATTAGAGGATATTTTAAACCAATGCAGACCTAGACACCCACCCTAGATTACCAGCAACTAAATGAACCTTTTGACACTAGTTCTTACCTTACCCTTACCTGATTTAAAAGCTATCAACACTAGATACGTTTTAGTATAAACCAGCACTGAGTTTAACAATACCTCAGTAGAAGCATCAAATTATCTTGTTGAAAATCTTATAAATTCTAAAAATAATAGCGGAAAGTTCCACAGGATTATAACTAACAGTATGTTTTTATACACACAAAGGATAATTTTGTTTCCTGTCTTAGGTATCCAGGTTTGCCAACTAAATACTTGTAGAGTAAAGCTTCGAAATCTGTCTGATATTTGTTCATAAGTGGTGTCAGCATTTGAAAATAAATTGTAAAATATAAGTTTTGAAAAATACCTTTCAATGTGAAATTACTTCACATCTTACGCCTGTAAAGAAATTAGGTTTTGAAAAATACCTTTCAATGTGAAATTATTTCACATCTTACGCTTGTAAAGAAATTAGGTTTTGAAAAATACCTTTCAATGTGAAATTATTTCACATCTTACGCTTGTAAAGAAATTAGGTTTTGAAAAATACCTTTCAATGTGAAATTATTTCACATCTTACGCTTGTAAAGAAATTAGGTTTTGAAAAATACCTTTCAATGTGAAATTATTTCACATCTTACGCTTGTAAAGAAATTAGGTTTTGAAAAATACCTTTCAATGTGAAATTACTTCACATCTTACGCTTGTAAAGAAATAAATTAGTCAATGTTTACTTCAAATTTGTAATCTTTGCAAATTAATTATATAATAATTAAATGTTATAAAATTACTAAATATGTTGTTTCCTTCCTAAACACCGTGGGTCAGCTAATAAGTTTGTGGTTTCTCATGGTCCCACACACTCGATGGTCGAGCTAGTTCGTAGATGTCCAGACTCAGTCTCTGCTGTAGGCAGCGTTAGAGTAAGGTCCAGAGTAGATAGAACTGCCTGCTGTGCTAGCCCCCTTTCTCCTGCGACGACGATGAAGGATACAGGCCACTAGGAGCATGACTGCCAACATCAACAAGACGCCTGCAATAGCAATACCAATTGCGAATTTTCTTGTGGACACGCAAAATTCATCCTCATCAACCGAGGGCGACGATGTTACTCCAGACTCTGTAAAAGTTTGAAAACGTGTGTTATGATGTAATTACGTTTATTTCTCAAAAGGCTGAGTTCAGTTTATAAAGCCGCCC